TGCTTTTTGCCATGCTTCTTGTTACGACACCAACACTTTTGCTTGCAGAACTTGAATAAGTTGACTTAGGAGGAGTCATCGTTGCACTTAGATATCTTGAAGAAAAGAGATGAGAGGTAGAGATAGTCCCACTGGGCGTGCCAGAAATTTGTAACGCAAAATTTCGTATTATTAAATTAAAAAACACGAGAAATTCGGACAAATAAATTTTCAACGGATCAAAAGAAATATAGTGGATTACAAATCTCTATTATTCCTCTGATTAATTTCTTCAAGAACGATCTTCAAATAGACTTGAGACTTTTGGAGACTAATCTTCAGTTTGGTCTTCGTCGGTCTTGAATATGGATTTAAATAACGTTTCTTCGAGGGCTTGATAGCTTGATCTCGAATCGAACGTCGTGATTTTCCAAGAACGTGAAGAACACGAATCCTTGGTCTTCGCCGCAAAGTTGTTTTTGATCTTCTCTACGCCGGTCTTGACTTGAATAACGTAATTCGGAGGCTTGACAACTTGTTTCCGGATTAAACGTCGGTTTTTGGCTTGAATGCGCTTGAATCTTCCTTCGGGTCTTCAAGAACGCCTTTGAATCTTCAAAACACTTGAACTTTAATAACGCAATTCGGAGGCTTGGCAGCTTGTTTCCGGATTGAACGTCGGTTTTGGGCTTGAACGTGCTTGAATCTTCCTTCGAATCTTCAAGAACGCCTTTGGATCTTCAAGAACACTTGAATCTTGTGGAGAGAATTCTCGAGAGCTCTTGAACTTGAATATGACTTGGACTTGAATATGAATTGTGTTTTTTTCACCTTAGGGAGGGTCCCTATTTATAGGTGTTAGGAGAGAGAGTCTTGGAAAAGAAGTTCAATTTGATTGGTCCATAATTTCTAATATTTATTTCTTAATAATTATTTAAAGAGATAATTAGGAGAGAGAGTCTAAAAAAAGAAGACTTCAATTTGATTGGTCCATGAATTTCTATTTATTTATCTCTTTAATAATTATTAAAAGAAATAAATATTTATTTTTTACTCTCCAAGAAAATGACATGTGACATTCTTTAATTGGCCTTCAAAATATATATGTGGCATTCTTTAATTGACCAACAATATATATTAAATAATCAATTAATTAACTATTTAATTTAGGAATTAAAATTTGATTGATTTCCCAAATAAAATAGAAAATTATTAAATTGACTATGACATGGATTTTGACACTTGTCGCCATTTTATTGACTCAAAATTTGAATATCTACAATGAGTTAAAAATATAGTGATTAAAGTTAACATAATAATAAAAGCAGTAAATAATAATTGTAAATGTTTGGTGATTAATATGTGAGTAGATAAATATTGATTTTTTTTGTTTAAAATTGTATTGGACAAATTAGTTTTTATTAGTTAATTATAATGATAATAATAATGAGAGTTGATTTTAATTAGATTTAAATTGAATTTTAATTAAGTTTTGTATTTAATTATAGTCCCTGATTTTTTTTAGCAAGATATTTTTTTTTTTTTTGTTTTCCCAATGCACCCTTAATTGTTCATAAAGTTGGCACCAAAGGAAAGAGAAGTCTGTTTTTTGCTATATATATATAACGAAGAAGACGTATGTGTTTCTACTCCGCCATAAAAAAGCGGTCAGTATGGGACAGTATACTCTTAAAAGTAATTTCTTCTAATGAAATATTGTGAACGACCTGTCAAATCTAAATGGGGAAAAGTCAAAATCTGATACACTCAAAAGAGAATAAAGTTAAAAGTATATTTGAAGAATATCATAATTATTACATATGCTCCATGGAAAATGAAATATGCATTGATATATTAATATTGAACAATTTTATATTTATTTAAAAGTAAAGGTACTACTAGTACAACACTCGTGTATTACACGGGTGTTTGTTAAAAAATTATTCTTAAATTTTAAAATTAATGAGAAAACTATATTAAATTTAGTTTACTTTTTTACAAAAAAAATATATTACTATATATTTTAGAATGGTATGTGTTACTTATGACTTACATGTGTTATATTATATTAGTTTTTATAACTTATATTATATAACTACTTGAAATGTAAATATATTAGTTGATAAATAATTTTATTTTTCTACTTAATATTAAAAATAATTTTATTATTGTTATAAAGATAAATATAAATTAATTTTTTTATACATACAATATGGATGTTAAATCGAAACTCATCAAAAGAAGATCAATTGGTTGGGGACGGGTCGACTCTGGGATTGGTTTGGAGTTCGGTTGGCTCTACTGTATAGGCCTTTCGCAGTTTCGGTAGTCGCCGCTCGAACTTGGGGCCTCTCTTGTGT